TTTTTATATTGATTCTAATTTGGTCTCCCCCAGCGCCGGCGCGTGTATTGTGCCGGCCCCTAGCTCCAGGCCACTTCGTCAACCGTGTCCCGTCGGGCGTGAAATCCGCGAAATTAAACTTTGACAAACGCGATTCCCTTGATTGACAACCCATAGAGATGTGGCGTGAAGGGGAGGCCACGCGATGATGCAAAAATACGGAGTCTAAACTTATATCGTGCCTGCTCCGAAAAATAGCGTTTAAACGAACCGGTAGCGCAATAGGATTGCAGCTCAGAGGCACTTCACGCGAAACGATCCAGATTTTTGTTTAATGCACCTACGTACAATTTGTATCGCTAATATTTGTGAATTACGAATATAGTTGAATTAACCATTTAAGTATAGCATTGACAACGTCAGTAGAATCTATGACACCCCTACGTGTGTGGCATGCCCAGTGGTCTGCCTCGCGGGTGCCGTGTTATCGGCGCCATTCACGCACATAAATAGATTGCAGGCGCTTGTGCCGACTGGCGCCTTTGCAGTCCTTCGGCGTTAGTCAAAACCCGCTTATTGCGCTTGGTAAGCTGTACCATTGATAAAATGCCCCTCGCTCTGGAGCGGGAGCGCGCTGACTGCAGGTCGGGTTACGTGCTGTTGACCCGTGCTCTGTAGCGGGGCGGCATCGGTCAGGTCACACGACCAGGTCAGGTCAGGTCAGGTCATCGGTCAGGTCACACGGCCTCACAAAATGGCAGAAGCGTGCCCAGCCAGGCACATGCGGCCCACATACCAGCATATATAACAATGGTAATAGCATTCACGCAATGATAAAAATTGTCTATACTAATGCATGATAATAACAATACCTCGTAGCAGTAGAAACATCATTCATACACTTAACCTTCTTTATTCAAACGGCTGTCATCCATCTCTCAATGCTTGCAATAAAACATGTTTTATTCAATTTGCTGTCATTTTGCCAAACACAGTGATCAAGCACAAGTTATGGCGGGTAGCTAGCAGATCTGACGGTTGTTTCGGGCACGTGCGAGCTGATTAACACATGCCTGAGAACTCACACAGTTGACGCGGAATTATCTCGCTTGCCACGCGATTACGGCCCATGAGAGGGCGTTTACCGACACACGCACAAAGGCGCCGCATCACAATAGTGCCGCCGCGTCACCCCAGCTGCTCCACCTCTGTGTTTCCGGCCGCCTGCCACTCACTGGCTGCGTGCGTGTCGTCCGCAGGCGGCCCGCCGTCCCGACGTCCCGGGATGATCCGGCTGGGTACCCGGCTCCCACACACCTGCCTGTCCGGCTCAGCCCATCCCCACCGCTCCCTACCGTCTGCCGGCTCAGCGTCGGTGCCGACGCGTCGACGGAGCTCGGACGGTCGGCACCCGCCGGCGCCAACACAGCGCGACAGCGCGCTATGACAGCACAGCCGGCGGCGATATGACGGGATTATAATGGCCCCCGGGTGCGGTGCGTCCGGGGGAGGCGACGAGGCGATATGTATGCCAGGCGAGCCCTCTCATCAGCAGGACGCGGCCCGCACTGGCAAAAACACAGGGAAACGGACAGCAGACAACCGGTCGGAGAAATGCATGTCTGGATTCCTGTCTGTTATGTGGTGGTGCTGAGGCTGGTTTCCTCCGTGATGGTCATCACGAATGTTGTGGGTGTTGACACGGCTCCCTGCAGTACCCTCGCGGTGAAATGAAAAGTGCTGTTTCATTTGAGTGCCAGCTTCCTGCATTTCTGCTTTCAATAAATTTGAACCAGGAATGCAAATAGGGACATTTCCCAAATTTTCGTAATGATTATATTCGGAGGCACATGATGAGAATGCATTTTGGAAATTTGGTCCAGGGTACTGTGAAGCTGGTGCAATGCAATTGAAAATAGTTTGTTGCTCCGACCTGTTGAACATGCCGATGGTCTACTTACCTTGTCATGGCGCAGCTCTCTTTATGACGTTCAGATGATGGAGGCCGCAGGTAGATGCGGACTGGTAACCGTAGCCACAGTGACCACAGTGATCGCCAGTGGCGGCACGTTACATGCTCTTCAAGCGCACAAATGCATGTCGACAGATGCAACCGTGCAAGACGAATGCCACTACAGGATTGCTCGACACCTGGACTGGAAACAGAGCTGTAACGGCCCCTTTTACTTGAGAGCCCCTTCCAAGTCACCCCTTGGCAACCCATCGAGCGACTCGCAAGATGGCGGCGGACACGTCCACAGTCACGAGGGGCCACGCCATGTCGACGCGTCGCTCCAGACAGGGGAGGTGCAATCGGCCCCAAATTAAATAAAACGTTCCGTCGGTCGACTTGCCGGGTTAATTTCCCAAGACGTTGTGTTTCCCTCCGAGAGGGCTTCGGCCCCGCGTTGCTATTCGGCCGGAGTGCCCTCCTTTTATTGGCGGCAGACGTGTTCGCCTTCGCCTGAGCAGAGGCCCCACTGACGATGGATGGGGCTTGCGGGGCCGCGTTCGGAAATAACGTACAAATAATCAACCTCACTACTGTCTGCGTCTGTCAGCTGCTCACTTTCAGGTAGTGTCAGCCCAACAGACCAGAATGGTCATTTTAGTATCACATTTCCTCGCCGTTATGCTGGTCTGTTACATTAGCCAAATCAAAGATTGTCACATTTGGTGTACCCATCGTCCTCCACGCCCACATTTCATCTGCACACACCATTGTGCACGTTTTCCACCTCCAGCTGAAGAACCTCTCCACTGCCACAGCCTCCCTTTCTCTTTGTTTTCCTTTGTTCCCGGATTCCTTGCTCCCTCTCCCCACTCTTGCCATTATCTTCATCAGAGGCTAATCCATTTATCAGTCGCTGGTACGCATTAGCCCGTGACTATGTTTGCATTAAATGCGTTTGCTTGCCGTTCTTCTTACTCCTTATTAGCTCCCTCCATGGCTGCTGATGTTTGATTTGCCCATGGAGTTATATTTTTGGCGATATTAATTCTTTGCTGTCTTGAAAGTCACCGTGTGTCTGGATTTATTGCACACTTTACATTCAATGCAAACGATGAGTTTGTCTGGCGAGCCGAGTGATAGTTGTCCGCAGATATCTCGAGTATAAGCCGCCAGCTTTTCAAGTCAAACTTTGCCCAAGTAATTTGACTGTCTGAAAGTCAGGTGGTTGGAGTCATTGCACTTGGCGAACTTTCCACTCGGCCCGCCACTGCACCCTCCACAAACTTTGCTCATATCTAGACATTTTTTCTCGCGTCCCTTCGGCACTCAGAGTGCGATGGCGGTGGGATATTAGGCCGGCTAATAGCGTTTCATCTAAGGGCTGGGCCAACGACAGTGTTCCAGGCAAAATAGATCGAGCCTTGTTTAAGAACCATTTAAATGAGTAATCCATCAGCAATGGTGTCACGTTGCAGTTGTAATGGATTACAACCGTAAGACACTCGCTGTTGGTTCAATACATGCAACTGATATTCATCGCGAGACAGCTGGTTGGTTTTTGAGTGAATATGAACTGCATGCACTGGTGATGCGGGGCTGTCTTATCCCGCGATAAAAGCAAGATTTTGACTTTCATATTTGCCTTCACAAAATATGGCATAGGCTTACTGGGCATGACTAACTTCTTTCCGAACGGGTAATGAAAATGTTTAGCTTCGGCTGACGGGTAAAAGAAGACTGAAGGGGTCTACAGAAATGGTAACGACACTTGTCTGTTATTATAACTGACATACAGGTTGCAAGGGCTATGAATGGCATGATTCAGGCATCAAGCTCCTGGCGTGTCATCATGTCCAGGGCCACCAATGACTGATCGACTAATTCCCAGATTAATGATATCAACGCACGTAAAACAGCTTACATCTGGATCTGACTAAAGGAGACTCGAATAAACTGATCAGAGCGCTGAAAGGATCCATTTCAGCTTTGGACGTCTGCGTCGTGGCTTAGCAGCGGGCTCTGAATGCTGCAAAGCTTTCATCGTGCCAAGTCCGATCTATGTAGATGCGTGCCGGCTTTTGCCGCCATCCGAGCGCACCAGATTCAATAGCGTTGTTGTTTTGACGCTTCGGTCGCGCTAGGCGGCCTAGACTGATTTGGCATCCGGCTGGGACAACAGAAATAGTTTGCAACAGCGAGTGGTGTAGACTGAAACAGCCAGCCGGGGAGCAATGTCATGCATTATTGCCAATTGTGGCATGGTGCACGCCTATGCAGTAATGCGTAAAAATTTGTCAACGGATGTCGCGGATTATTTTGATTTCAGGAACGTCGATGGCAAAGGTCAGGGGCACGTTCGGAATCGTGCTCCTACCTTATTGCATGCCGCCGTACACCCTGTGACGCATAACTATCACTCTGTGGTGAGAGAGACCTGCCGCACCGGCTCCCCGACAGAGACGAAGACGCTGCAGAAACAAAGGTGTTCTCATACTCAGTATATGAGCTCAATACTGATCTTAATGCCTTAATGCGATGAGACGTGGAACAACAATTTATGCTCTCATTGGTATGCATGACTGGTGTTCTTTCATGTCTGGCTTATCTCTTTTCCTTGCGACCATGGCCTTGCACCGATTCCAGTCGTGTGACTCGAGATGATAAAAATCAATGATCATTGTTCTCTGTCTCGTGCAGTTAACAGTTAAATAAGTGCGTCGCATCGATGTCCAGCACCATCTTCGCCCACTACATTTTTTCAACTGCAGCGTCACCGTCTCCACATGGAGCCAGCGCCAGCACACAGGTTCGTCGAACCGCGCCACTTTCGCCTATGCACACTTCAGCTTAACGGTGACCGGGCCTGAGGAGGACTGCCCGACTACACAGCACACGCCAAACAGTCCACTGAGGCTGTGGCCAGGGCTGAGGGGGACTGCCCGACTACACAGCACACGCCAGACAGTCGACCCAGGTTGTGGCCAGGGCTGAGGGGGACTGCCCGACTACACAACACATATCAGAGCGATAGGTTGGCAGCACACGTCAGCATACGTGAACAGTCGACCTAGGCTGTGGCCAGGCCCGCATGGGACTGCCCGACTACACAGCACACGCCAGACAGTCGGCCTGGGTTGTGGCCAGGGCTGAGGGGGACTGCCCGACTACACAGCATACGCCAGACAGTCGACCTAGGTTGTGGCCAGGGCTGAGGGGGACTGCCCGACTACACAACACATATCAGAGCGATAGGTTGGCAGCACACGTCAGCATACAGAAACAGTCGACCTAGGCTGTGGCCAGGCCCGCATGGGACTGCCCGACTACGCAACACATATCAGAGCGATAGGTTGGCAGCACACGTCAGCATACGTAAACAGTCGACCTAGGCTGTGGCCAGGCCTTCAAGGGGCTGCCCGATTACGAAACACATATCAGAGAGATAGGTTGGCAGCGTGCGTCAACATGCGTCAGGCAGTCGACCTGGGCTCAGTATCTTTTACCGAGAGAGGAGGAGAGACTGAGAGGTATGGATGCCGTGGGATGTTTGCTGTCGCGTTGCTTAGTGACTGCTGCGACAAAAAACATGCATTCAAGCCGTTTGCTATTTTTTTCGAGTCGCTCGCTAAACTTTTATTATCATGCGTGAATAAATGCATGCCTGCACACCGTTAAAACTGTGTGGTTGAAGCTGAGATATTGTCAGTTTTTAAGTTAAAAAATCGTCATTCACCATATCAGGAAGTAGTAGTTGAGTAATGTTGTCAAGCAGTTATTGCCATGGTGAACTCCCCATTGATTTGTAAGAGGACATTTCAAGGCAGTACTAATGGCCACAACCAGTGCCCTGATCACCGAGCGGCAGTCATAGTCACTCGTGATTGTGTTTGCTTGATAACGTTGTGTAATAAATGCCTGCATGTACATGGACGATCTGTTATTTTCAACTCCAGGACTTCCTCGTAGTTGAGATTATTTGACAAATGATGCGTGCACCTCAGCACCCGGCAACCACACAGCCCTCAAAGAAATATTGGGTGATGCTTGCATCTGCGCCCGTGGCAGCCAACGATTGTCATGATGATTTTCTTTCTCCTTTCGGTGTCTCCGGGTGCAGTACCGAATCAGTTGGTTAGCACTCCGCATAGACAGTTTCAGTCAGCCCTTGTGATCAAATATGTAGCCGCCGGCGGCAGACGCAATGGACTACCGCACAGTTCCTGGAACGCGACGCGCAATCAGCAGTAAGCAGGCCTTGTTATTACCTCGCCGTCGGAGGCGGCAGCTTCAATTACGTCCGCGCATTCACGGAATTAAGTCCGCCGTCTGGGCGGGAGCGGGAGTGGCGGGGCGCGGCGCTTCTCGGGCGCGCCGGCGGCGGGACGGGCTGCACTACCACGTCCGCCGGCAGTGGGACGGGTCGCACCACCACGTCCACCGGCAGCGGGACGGGCCGCACCACCACGTGCGCCAGCAGTGGGACGGGTCGCGCCACTACGTTCGCCGGCACCGGGACGGGCCGCACCACGTCCGCCGGCAGCGGGACGGGCCGCACCATCACGTCTGCTGGCACCGGGACGGGTCGCGCCACCACGTTCGCCGGCACCGGGACGGGCCGCACCACGTCCGCCGGCAGCGGGACGGGCCGCACCATCACGTCTGCTGGCACCGGGACGGGTCGCGCCACTACGTTCGACGGCAGCGGGACGGGCCGCACCATCACGTCTGCTGGCACCGGGACGGGCCGCGCCATCACGTCTGCTGGCACCGGGACGGGCCGCACCACCACGTCCGCCAGCAGCGGGACGGGCCGCACCATCACGTCTGCTGGCACTGGGACGGGCCGCACCATCACCTCTGCCGGCACCGGGACGGGCCGCACCATCACGTCTGCTGGCACCGGGACGGGTCGCACCACCACGCCCGCTGGCGGCGGGACGAGCCGCCCCACCACGTCCGCCGGAAGCGGGACGGGTCGCACCATCACGTCCGCCGGCGGGGCAGGTGACGTCGTTCGCCAGACGGCTCGGCCGCTTTATGAGGACAGTTATGTCGGCGCCGACACCGAGTCGGCCGGTCGTGTAACGAGCCGGTAGCCAGTGGCCGCCGGCAGGCAGGTCACGGAGAGTATTAAATTCGGCAATGACCACAAATCTCGCCGGCGGCGCGACGCGAGCCGAAATGAAGCTTCACGCGCCAGTTGTACGACCGGCACGTTTTCGGCGCCTGCCCGCGCTCGTCCGGTCGTGCCCTCCAATCACTCGCTCGGCCGATTCCGAACCGCCGCTCCAAGGGGCTAAATCAGCCATTTGCTGACCACCGTCTCGCTGACGACTATTGATTGCTTATTTTAGGCGCCATTTAGATTCTGAAGATTGAATGGGATGGAGACGCTCGGGGCATCATTTATCCCGGCGGCAGCTGTCGGGCGAGCCGGTCCGCAGCGGAGGATTTAGATCCGGCTCTGTCCCCTACAGCACGCCCTGGGGACAACCACGGGCACTACTAATGTCTTACAGGTATCGCGCCGGTCCTCATTTCCATATGAAATGCCGCTCTGAGCAGTATTGGAGCATTTCAACCACCAACTTTCTGGAATTCATCAGCGTAAGCGAAGTCGCAGGCTTTGGAACTCTGACTTGAATAAGGGTTGAAGTTTGCGCACTACAAAGGATTCGCATCTTGCAGGACCACCATCGTTTCAGGAAGCACAGAGGTCCTGGTCATGATGTGGAATCGCCACCCGGAGAGAGACGGGGGCATCCGCCATGTCACACGGAGTGGTGAAAGCTGTTGCTACAGCACTTACATTCACAACGTTAATGTTAGACGCTTGATTCTACCCAAAACAGTTTTATATTTCACGCTTCATCAATGTGATGGAACGCTACCATCATCAAAATTATCCATTCGGGTTCCAGCTAATCATGAATACTTTCATTTTTGCTATTTGTCTTAGGACTCAACGCGATTAACTGCGACATAATAACGGAAGCACCACTACCGCGTTCCCGCCTCCTTAAGGGCCCACTTTTTATAAAATCCTGTAGATGTCTAAAAGCTCGTTGTATACGAAAGATATGAGCGAGTGAAGAGAATAAGCCGACAGTTTTTTCATTGATCAAACAAGTTTTTGCAAGGTCCTACCCTTTTGCTTAACGTAAATCTAAATACTGGATGCGTTATTTAGCTGCCCTAGGTGAAGGTTGATTTATTTTTGATCACCTGTTGCTGATTTTGTGCTTTTCTGACAGGCATTTAGCATCGTCTTTCTGGCAAGAACGCGATAGTTTTCAATGCTTTTCGTAAGTCTTTCCTTGACATCTTGACACAAGTCTTTTCTACTGGTATGGAGGCTCAAGCCTGTGGGGGATCGGAGCCAACCCATAAAACACACGAGAAGTCTTCTCGTGAAGAATGCGCCTCATATCTTCCTTCTCAAACATGCGACCGACACCGCTAGATGGGCCGGCCAACAGTGGCTGCCAAGCTTCCCACTAATCCCAGCGCCTCAGCCGCCTCATCCCTCCTCGGCGCAGCGCCTCGGCCGGCGCCGAGGCCTTGGCGGCGCTGCCCTGAGCGCCCGCAAGGGCTGGCGTCGGGAGCTCCCAGTGGAGGGGGGTGTCGTTCCACCCCCGATGAGAGCCGGTCAGCGGAGGGTCTTTTTATGAGCGGGCGTCATCTGTAGGACGGTCACATATCTATTCAGAGCACCGCCGGGGCGGCCGACGCGAAAACCAACAAAGGCCGGCGCTGATGGATGGCAGTCATAACAGACCAGCGCGCGGCTAGCGAGTTATTAAAGATGAAATTGGCGGAGGCGCCGGTGAAACCAGCTTCTTGGCCGCTGCAGCGTGTGGCGGTCAGCGGCAGGGTGCGGAGCGTCTCCGGCTCCGGCACGGAACGAGAAAACACCCGTGATACCTGGCTCAATGGGTCGTTGATGTCGACGGCGATGGCGCTTAGGCTCCCTGCTAAGATGGCCAGCAACAGAGCCTCAGCGCCGGATTTGTCATGTAGTACGCTTTTGCATCATCAAGAGATATCACATGTTACGTGGTGGATCTGCGGGTTATGGCCGGCGGTTGAAGCATGTAAATGAGGCGAAACGGCAGTGTAGAACAGGGGCACAGTGGCCGTCTGGCCTCGACTGATGTCTGTATTAGCATGCCGCAGTTGACGGTGTTCAGGTGTTGCAGACGGCATTGCGTCAGACGCAACAGGATGTATGCAAGGGGCACGTGCTTGCAGCGAACTATGACGATCAAAACTAAGTCGTAGATCTGTCTATGGCTGTTACATGTGCTTTGTTCCGTATAGTTGTCGTCCAATGTCATGCCTACAATAGTTTGGCTTCCCCACTTTCCAACCTTATTCTCAGTGACGTGTCCGATTTGTTGCCGTGCATTGCGTATCCTTGGCGATGATCACAGAAGTCCGTTTTAAGATTAGAATGGTCGATGGCCTCTCGTCTCTTGATCTGATCTGATCTGACCTGATCTGATTTGACCTGATCGGGTGGATCACTGGTATGCCAATAGTGTTTCAAGCGCAGAACCGAGAAATGAAGCAATGCTATGGCCACCGAGAGCTAGAGGTGGTTGGTAACTTCCTAAGACGGTATCAGAAATAGTACTCGTTGGCAACAAGCGCGTGAAAGTAACAGCTGTTCACCCATTCTCTAGCCTCACTTGCATTTGCTGAATGTTTATGTTCTAATTATTCATATATTTTAATTCACGATGCGAAACGATGTAAGTCGTTTTGATAACAAACCCGCCAAACAGCCTCATGAGCAGTGGAGAATGATAACATCAAATCACCCATTGCATGTACGTCCAATGCCATGCAAATGCCTGCTTTGTTAGTCCCAGACCAAAATGATTTAGAGCATTATCCGTTCAGCCCGAGTTCCCCGTCCAATGTGACTGGGATGCTCTTATTCACAGCGACATTCGTGTTCTCAGACACGTGTATTTCCTCAGGAATTTTCCGTCATCTGACGTGGCTGACTCTCCACCGATCGCTCTCTGCCCTCCCTATCCGTCCCAGCCGTCCTTCCCGGACCTCCCATTTATAGCGAGCGGTGACGACAGAACAAAATGCAATAACGGCGAACAAACAACTCGGCGTAATGACTCCCCCAAGAAAACCCAATAAGACGGCTGCCGCCCCCGGGGCTGGGCGAATTGACCCCTGCTCAGTAACTGGGCGCCGCAGGGCACGGAGCGGTCGTTCCGGAGCGGGCTCGCGTTGACGAGGGGAGCGGCGGAGAGGGGTGGGAAGCGAGGGGTGGTGGGCGACGTCCGACCGCAGGATGGCGCCTTCCGGTGATCCGGCGACGGAGGCGGCGCGCGGGAGACGGGTGGAATTGTGCTCCGTTGTAGTGGCAGTCATCACGGAGACGGAAGCTGTGAATAAGCCTGGTCTTGAGATTTGGAGTGCTGCGTTTTGGTTCTGGCCCTAGCTATGTTTGTAGATTGTAGAGCGTGGTCCTTTATGCAGTCGCCTGTGTCAAAGGATTTTTTCTTCGGAAAGAAGTAGGCGATCGATCTAACTGCGTTACGCGAGTACTAAACTCAGTTAAATCAACTTGCCGGTTCTAAGAAAGGGGCGTCGTTTAACCGAGCCGCGTCTACTGTCGTCCAAACGAAAACATACAGCCTGAAGCTGCCTGAGCTGGGGCAAAAAAACCCTCAGTTGAGTCAACTAGATTACCGTACGGAAACAGGGCATCTCGCTCAGGGCTACTCAGTCCCTGCAGCCCCAGGTGGACGAACAATCGAGTTAGTCCGACTGCCGTGATGTGTTGCCTCTGCGCGCGTCCCGCGCCGTCCCATCGACGCGACGCTCTTTGGACGAGTTCAGCGTCGTGTTCTGCGCCTGCGGCTCACCGGAAGACCGGCTGATTGCAGACACGGGTCGTGAGCCGATTGGCCGATTTCTTTTTACGCTGCTGCTGTTTGCTGGCCGGATAAGCGAGGGAAAAAGGCAGCCGTCGCGTCTGTGTCAATAGTGCCGCGTCGGTCACACTTTACGACGAGACGGCATTTTTTTATCTTTTCGCAAGGAATTGGCTCCGGGTCTCCAGGGACGACCCTCTGTGTGTGTGTGTGTGTGTGTGTGTGTGTGTGTGTGTGTGTGTGTGTGTGTGTGTGTGTGTGTGTGTGTGTGTGTGCGCGTGCCTGCGTGCGTGCGCACGGGTGCATGTGGTGATAAGCAGGGAGTATGACGATCTAACTGCAAGTTCAAACACGAAGGTGTATAACCGGCCTCATGAACTATTCTGCAAAGCGAATATTCGTACATATTTGGTTTTGTAGCAGTAACAGTTTACTGTATGATTTTTAGAAACAAACATTTATGACCGGGCGCATCAAGATACTCTATCCAACAAAAATCTGTTTATGCATGGATTAGTCTCGCACAAACGCATAAGCCAAACCTACCCCGTCACCCGAAACAATGTTTCTCCTCAGATTTGGCCCACTTTCCTTTCAAAGTTGATGGTGGAGCTGGAACCCCACAACACACCCCGCCCCCTCCCCCCCCCCCTCCCCTATGGCACCATCCCAAGTGAACTGGAAACTGTATCCGCGCATCGCTGGTATAAAGCACGAACTGCCACTGGGTCAAACAAGAAACCCTGGCTCATTCGATCGTACCATACATAGACAAAGGACGCCTTGAGAGCCGCAGAGCGCAAATCGCTGGCCGAAGCGACTGGTGCACAGCAGTAAGCACTGGTCTTGCAGCAGCATGATCAAGGCAGCGATGGGGCATTGAGTAATAATGAACACATCAGACGTTAAGTTAGCTCAAAGTATTTGAAGAAGAATCCGTGAAGAATTCTTGTGAAGAAGAATCTGTAATCTGAAAAAAGAATCCGAAATTATATTTAAGGGCTCATTGTAAACGAGGCGGAAGACTGTGCGATATTTTCTTGAACGATGATAAAACTTTGCAAAGTTCAGTCGTTGCGGAGTGAAGAAAAAATGTCGTTGGGCGCATATTACAGATTCATGCAATTATAAGTGACTTGAAATTTAATCTGAGTTTCAACAGTATTCTGTGAAACATATAAATTGCTCAGCAATGTATGTGCTTGGCCAAGCCTTTCCCACAGCATTGCAACTTAATCACAATTTTACCTTCTCATTCGATTCACATGATTATTTAAAGTTTGCAACTTGAAAAACGTCTGAGAAACGTGGTTCAGAACCAGATGCATGTATCGATGACCTCAAAATGTGGCTTGATGTCTTCGGACGGTCGCGTGATTTCCTGTGAAAACAACGGAGGCGCACATTTTTGGGTTTACTTTCAGTGTCAGATTCTAGAAACCAGGGCAAAGGAAGGTGTGAAACAAAGACACGGTGTCGGCGAAGATGTCGACTGCAACTTATTAACGGGTATAATCTGTCCAATCCACTTGTTTACGCTCAACCCACCCATTTTAACTCTGTCCAACCCGTATTGCTTCCACAGCCTTGGTCCAAGCCATGGACTCGACAGAAGTCAACCAGAAAGCGACTAAGGTCACCATTATCGAAACGGACATTCTGAGCGCATGCTGCCTGGCCTGAAACGAGATCCATTGTGCTCTGGAAATTACATTTGATTATTTTCATGCATAGCGGCCAATACCTAACGCTCACAAAATATTTCCTTTTGCCGCGATACTTTTGGCTACGGCAGTTATAATCCCAAATAATTCTAAACTCTCGAATTTTAAGGTCTTAAATTGTCAATGCCAACCAGACCCAAAAACCAGCCATTTTTCGAGTAATGATGCATGTGAACTAATATGTGAACTGAACACTGATAAATTGAGACCGGCGTGACTGATTTCCTTTTCTGGAATCAAAAGATTCAGCATTAGTAATGTGACCCCTTTCCCACGGAACATTGACTGTCGGTATTAGTCACTTATTCGCTCTCATTCATTACTGGTCACATTACCAAATATTTTGATTCCAGAATCAGGAATTACTGACGGTGCTCAGTGCAATTTTCAGCGCACCGATCCTCCACCTGTTCAATTTAGAAGAGCGGTAGACTTTCCACCGCATTTATCAAACTTCTGACATCGGTTGTCAAATGTGTGCTTCGGAAGTCGCAGTCCCCCCCCCCCCCCACCATGCCACTCCCGGCGTCCCCTCCCCGGTTCTTGTGCCCATGCCATGAGCAGAGCTTATTGTTCAGCTTGGTTGGGTATGTGACCACTCGGGATTTGCCTGCCAATAAGTTCACTAGGTCAGAGGCTTAATCGCAACATGGGTTAGGGTGTGTTAGGAAGGGGGAATCGGTAACCTAGATAAGGCAGTAGTATTAGCTATATTCCTTGGGGAAATGGCAGGAAAATGGAGATATAGTAGGGTTGATATTTTGGCAGCATGTTATCGAAACAATAGCAGAAGTCAAGATAAAGGCATGCTGCCGAAATATAAACTCAGCTATACCTCCATTCTACTGGTTTGTCTCCGGGGAATAAGGCTAATACTACTGTCTTATCTATGTGAATGGTGTTCCTCGCTAATGCACTGAGCAACTTCCGAAATGGGTAACCTTACCCACAAAAATAAAAGTGTTCATCCGCGAATCGATCCAATTCCCTTTCAGCCCTGGGAAGTTCCTCTTCCCCGCAAGTGAACAGGAACCTTCACTGCCGCATAAGATCATTTAGCGTCAAAAAAGGCTCTTTTCAAGGCAGCCAATCGAGCAGGCAATGCTCGAGTGTAACTAAAATACGGCCTCAATGGCGATGTTCTTATGCGTTCGGGACCAACAAAACCTCATCCATATCTCGAGCAGATTTTATCGCGTCGCGCACACGCTGCCAGCCTCCGGCTTGGGTTTCACGTGACGCCTGACAGATGAGCAGTTTCACACGGGCCAGCGGGGCACAGTCGCTATGTCCACGGCACGTGAGGTCACGACGTTTATGACCCTCGCAGTTATGCGTTTCGTGGAAGCGAGCATACCAAGCCAAATAGTTGTTTCTGTGGCGGCGCGCGCCGGCGGGTGGCGGTGACCGGCCGCCCAGCTGGCCACACCGCGTCGTCGCACACCGTTGTTACCGGCCCGAGGGACGCTCCAAACGCCACGTCCGTCGCATAGGCACTCCTCCGAGGCCAACCGCCGTCGCCATCAACAACGGCTGTGTCCGAGTACAACCTGACCCCGTCAGGAGAGCCTGCTCACGTTCACTTCCCTGCAAGGGACGAAACGAAAAACAGAGCGTTTCGTCTCTGCAAGCGACGTGCCAGACATGCCTTTTCCTAGACAAAATCTCTGCTCCTGTCCATCTCGCATCATCTCTTCCGCTGGTATGATTTTTGTTTCGAACGCCTCCGTCTCGCAGCGTACTGAACTAGCACGGGTGGTAATGAGATTTAGCCCCGGAACTCTGTCGAGTGGAGTGCTAGGCATCCTGGCTAATGTACAATCTCTAATTAAATTCCTTTTAATAGAGACGCAATTATGCAGCCGTGCAGAAGGACGCAAAACATCTTTCGGCGATGTGAAGGGTAAATAATGTATAGAAGACTCAGCAGATGACAGGAAACAGTTTGCAGTCGAAGCTGTCTGAAACTCGTGCTCCACGCTTTCATAACAAAGCGCTTATATTCCAAGCCTCATTAGACAAGCCGGTGTAATGGGCGAAACATTCGTCCTGAGGCAGTTTGGAACTGTTGGTACAGGTACATCTTCAAACAACGCTGAACACTCACCATCTTTGAGCATGACAAAGTGGAGCATATCGAGCAGTTCAATGTTTTATACCTACCAGCCGTGTCTTTGTTGCAAAATAATGCGCTCGATGACCAGAACCATTGGACAAATATAAAACAAAAGAGATATTCATTGTTCTCACGTTTCATGGCTGCCCATGTTGAACCATAACCATTCCCGTCGGTTAACTCGCTCGATTTTCCCACTGAAATTAGAACGATCATTTCGGTGGGCCCATGCGTGGCGACTCCAGCTCGAATTATGTGGACACAGATGCTAGTGTCAGTTAGCAAGGACGTCACAACGTATGTTCAGAACGCTTACAATTTCGATAAGACAGTGGTATTATTAGCCTTATTCCTCGGAAAACCAGGAGAATAGAGATATAGTTCGGTTGATATTTCGGCAACATGTCTTTCTCAAATTAATAAAAGAAGTGAATTCAAGATTGTCTACCGATGGTCCTACTCGATTGTTTCAGGCTTTTTACAGAGGAAGCCACAGTTTTTACTGAACATCAACATTCAGGGGATTAAACAAAGAGCGATTGTCAGCTATTACCAAGATACAGTGCCTATCTAAGAATTAGAATGTCCAGACATGACACTGTATCTTGGTAATAGCCGGCAATCGCTCTTTGCTTAATCCCCTGAATGTTGGTGCCCAGTAAAAACCGTGACTTCCTCTGTAAAAAAACTGAAAAAAATCGAGTAGGACCATCGGTAGACAATCTTGAATTCACTTCTTTTATTAATTTGAGAAAGGCATGTTGCCGAAATATTAACCTAACTACATCTCTATTCTCCTGGTTTTCCGAGGAATAGGGCTAATACTACTGTCTTATCGAAATTGTAAGCGTTCTGAACATACGTTGTGACGTCCTTGCTAACTGACACTAGCATCTGTGTCTACATAATTCGAGCTGGAGTCGCCACGTATGGGCCCACCGAAATGATTGTTCTAATTTCAGTGGGAAAAGGGAGCGAGTTAACCGGTCCGAGCGAGTCCTTCAAAAAAGCCTGAAAACCGAGTAGGATCATCGGCAGGCAATTTTGAATTTGCTTCTGCTATTGTTTCGAGAAAGGCATGTTGCCGAAATATCAACCAAATATATCTCTATTCTCCTGGTTTTTCCGAGGAATAAGGGTGATACTACTGTGTTATCTCTGTGAGTAATGTTCCTCGCTAATGCACTGAACAGCTTATGCGTAACATTTCCGTTCGCATGCGTCTCATTACGTAGCATCACAAACAACACACAAATACAACCATGGTTCAATTACCCAGCGGCAAAAACGCATCACCAACTTCCAGTGTGGGCGGATATCAAAGGATGTCTTACTGGCACTTGGAGAAAACAGGCATCACACGTCAATCTCTAATGTTCCTGGAAGCAAAACATTACAAGCGCGCCTCAGGCATGCAGCTCATGTTGTCATTCACAAAGCACAGCCCTTACTCGTATTCTTCTCGCGGGACACGCAGACAACGCACGGAACGACACCAGAGCATGTCGCATCGTCACACGAAGGCTCAACGCTTCAGGCCACATTTGTGCTGCGCTTTAACCCGTCTGGCATTTTGAAATTGTTCACCATTTTCAGGAATGCTTCCACATCATCCGTATCCCCCATATTTTTGTAAACCCACAATCCCCACTCAAGTTTGGACGCTTCGTTCATTACCTTCTTCTTCAGACACTTGTTGAATGATTCTCTGCCCATCTCCTTAGTGCAGTGGGCCCTGTGATACAGCTGCACAAGGTCTCGATCAGCCATGCGGATGACTTGAATCTCACTTTTCACGAAACGCTCGTACAACCGAAATGCAAAGCTCTCACTGGCCTGGTTTGCAAACTGCACGCCGAACTTCCGAAAGTCGGACAGGTACTGGCACGACATCTCGTACTCCGTGTCCAGCCAGTAGCCCAGATTCTCGTGAATCAGATGCTCCTTCTCATAGTTCGTCAGGATAGGTATCACCTGCTTTTTTATCACACCGTAGACGATTTCTGGATTGTACGTACTAAACACCATCGGGTAATAGACCCTGCCGTTGGGCTGCGAATTTGCCCGACACCGCTGCAAGAACTCGCGGCCGAAGACCATGTCGATGTTGCAAAGGAAGAGGATGACATCATGTGACTTGTCCCAGTTGGCGGCGGCCGCCAGCCACCCGGCACCGTGCGAGAAGGCCCCCCTCTCTTCCAGGAGCCTGACGCGCGGGACGTCGCCGCCCAGTGCCTCGTTGGTCTCTCGCACGAGTTCGGCCACGCCCGCCCTGTCCAGCCGCTCCTGGTAGCCCTCCAGGGCGGGCACACCCTCAGAGAAGTGCACCACCGTGAGAACCACGGCCTCCGCGTCCAGCACCAGCTGGCGGAAGCGCCCCACGAACGCCTCGAGCGCGGCGAAGCGGCCGTAGTAGGGCAGCACGATATTGACAAGCCTGCTGCCGGCCAAGCCGGCGTACGTGACCTCTAGCGGTCCAAGCCCGCGTTGCAGGCGCACTGTGTGAAACTCGGAGGCAGTAGCCGGCCGCAGCGCCGGGAAATAAACCTCGTACTCGGTGCCGAGGCCGGGCACGAAGCGCAGCCGGGCGCCCCGTGAGTCGCTCGGTCGGGCGGCCGGCTCGTCGGTGCTGCGCTGCAGCTCGGCCGCGGCTAGGTCCAGCACGCGGTGCAGCTCGTCAATTTCCGGACCGGCCTCAATCCGCTGCTTCGTGCGCACGTCACCCGGCACGTGCACGTGCCGCCGCCAGTGGCCGTAGTGCACGTGCTGCCACGGGTACATGCCTTGTCCGCTGGAGGTGTAGGACGCGAGGTTACGGCTCATCGTACGGACGGGAGTGAGCGAAGAAGGTAGAAACGATGATAACGTGTTTTGAAGGGCGCCTGTGCACAATAACATTGATCGCAGCGAGCGAAAGCAATTGCTCTCATGAGAGTGTTGGCTTTCAGTTCAAAACACCACTGTGGTGGTATTAGCATGGATCTGATGCTACCATGAAGAACGGGGTACAAGAGCATAATTCATATAATGACATGATATAAATCCGACCAACTTTCTGTTTGTCACCGCCATTGCTGATCATGAGTATCATGATAACTGGTAGTGATCCATAGAGTCTAGTGATCGTGAGCTCTAAAGCATTTTACCTTTCATGCAACTTAAATAGGACAGTACTGCTAGTCTTATAACTTGTCGAAAAAACAGGAGAAACAAAATATAAATCCAGTAAAATTTCGACTATATGCTTTTATAGACACGAATATTGGTACTAAATTCATAATGCTGGTTTGATTTCGGAATTTAGTCTGAAATTATAAATTTACTTTTAATAGTCGTCTTGATAAAGGCAAGGAGCTGAAATGTTAATGCATCTATCTCTCGTCTCCCCGCGTTATTCGACGATGGATAAGACTTATAGCACTGTCTTATCTAGATTATAATGCTCGTTACAAACGAACTTAACAGCTTACACAAAGCCCCAGTTTAACAAAAGCTGGTCCTTGATCAGACTGACCGTAGTCTGTTTAAAATATGTTCTGGAGGCAAGATAAATAGTATTACGCAGCCGGCGTAGCAAACGACGTATTTACCCTGTGCTGGCAGTGAAATTAATAAGGTCAGCGCTTCGAACGGACGTGAGCGGGCGGGTTTCAGTCGTCGCTGAAAAAGAAACAGGCATTAATGCGAGAGTAATCTCACTATCGACATGGATTTTGAACAAGTCGCATTTTCCATTAGCATCGCATGCTACCATACCGCCATTGGCAAATGCTCGTAGGTCGATATATGAGCCCTGAAGAATAGCCTTACGACACGTAAGGTACTCAGGCATGTACGAGGCACGTGACCTTGGCACATAAGGCACGTGTGAGGAATAAAACGTCGGCAAGTAATGCAACGTAACGTAACGTACGAAAGGGGGCTAAGGCACGAACGTAACTCAGACGTGCGGTGCGTATATGTACCCACAAACCTAACGTGAGTGCACCCACACGACCAAGCCGTTTTCATAGCATCGTTCTTCACACCCAACGTTTGCAGTTGCAGAGTTTGTGGTAGATTCCAGCGGTTCGCAAGGCTTAATATTAGCATTTCATGTACATTGAGCAGCTGCAGATTGCCTGAGCGAGTGTTTCAGCTTTGTATGGGCTCATGGTAACATAGTAATGGGCTCCTTGTTATCTAGATAGACAATAAAGATGTGAGCGAAAGCAGTAAGCAAAATATTTAGTCTTTAGTCTTACCTACGAAAAGTATAAAATACTAGGAGATTTTCAAAACAGATCCAATGTGAAGCACTCTTTACCTAAATTAAAAACATTCTAGACCAGCAGCAGCGTTACCAGTGATGCCAACAGAGCACCGCTGCTGAAGGTGTCGCATGGCGCTTCAGGAGGGCGGCGAGCTCGTCACACAGCTTTTACCGCAGTACGTTGCTGCTCCAACGGATATACCGATGTAAGAATGAAAAACAGCCATGCATTCACCTGAGAAGAATTAGGTTGCGTTTTGCGTTCATGGCAGCACATGGTACACTCTAATTGTATTCTAAAGGTGGAAAACACACGCATCTGACAAAATAGTTTGAAGGCCATCGACAATTTGTTCGTTTCGTTGAAATGTATTGATTTTGGATGAAGTCAGAATAGCCTGGTTAGAATTTCAGAAATGTGTTGATTTGCAATGAATTCAACGATGACCTGGTGCGACATCGAATCCCACGGCAGTTGTGGCCGTTGGAAGATCACATGGAAAGCCAACGTGGTTTTTCGAGACGCCATACGTGGACGCAGATGACCTTTCATTCTTAATTGCACTTTTAAAATAGTAATTCCTCATGCATTGATCTTCTCAGCATGATGCAATTTCACCTGTATCAAGACACTCAGTGCCAAGTAGAACAGTATACATAAACACAAGACCGAATCAAAAGGCCACTGTAACAGTACAGTATTAAGTATAAAGGCCACTGCAACAATATTAAGACCACTGTAACAGTACAGTATTTACTGAGCTCATGAGTTTTTGAACGCTATTGGGAATATGGTAACAATACAAACAAGCTTTCAAGCTTTTCAAAATATGCGTAGCCTGACTTGTCGTTTGGGACGAGAAATAGCGCGGCCAAAGAAAACTTGCGCAGTATTTTACTTGAATCATACATCCGCAGGCAGCTGTAATTTGGCGCCATGATAAGCTATGGCAGCGCTGAGAAGTAGCGAGTTTAATGCTTTTGTTTTTAATGAAGTATGCATGCACAGCATACTGCTGCTATGCAAAAATCACCACCGCGCCTAACTGCCGAGTTAGTTAAAGCGAGTGTGGATAAAAAGGTGCCCCAGCGGAATGCAGTCGCATGGTGACGCACGGGCTCGGGCTTGTAGGTAGCGATTTCAGATTTGATGAATTGGACATCTTGGGCGTCTCTCAGATTTGATTTATTTGGACACTGGGCGTCTACCTGCAGGAGCCAATAACGTAAAAATCTTCCGTCGAACTACATAGAGCGTTTTCGGCCCATTAAGGCGACATGTATATCTGAAGACGACGTGGATACGCAGACGATAAGTACTAGAAGCCGGCATGCAGCTTACACAGCATGCTTATCCTGGATTGTCAACGACAGTCTAGTGATAGAAATTTGATGGCTTCTGAAATCTTAGCAGGTAGCTCCACCAGTAAGTCCCATCAAGAGACATAAGACTTGACGTTAAGAGCCCAAGCTAGTACAGATGTTCTCACTGCCCCGTGAAGAGCTTGTGTGTTCCTGAATATTCGGTGCCAGACTTGAGGTCATATCGTAATCACTACCGACATCACATGATGAAAACGAGCGTGGAGAAAGATCAAAATTGTGTCGAAGGTGACTAGTAATATTGCATATGGAGGTGCACATAGAACTGTCACAAACACATGAGGTTTTGGCACTGTGCGTTAAATTTTGTAAGATGTCTCAGAAAATGGAAAATGTCTGCATACATTCAATACGCAAATTGCTGCATGTTATAAGCATATTCATATTAATAAGCATATTATTCATGTGCGTAGGTTTTACGTCAGACGCAAGATCTACGCACATGAAGCCCATTGATATGCCAATTATCGCAAATCCCCCCCCCCCCCCTCCGTGTGACTTGTTCACCAGCCGACACCTTCCGGACACAGTACGGTGACTCTGAGAGACAACCGTGAAACAGCTGGGAACAGAGCCTCCGACTGCCGGGTGTCACTCGCCCGGCACCCACCTGGGCTTCTCGGGTGCGGCCTGCGCGCTGTGCTGGTGCTGTGGCGCGACAGCAGGAGCAGGGCCGGCACCGAGACCAGCAGCAGCAGTGCTCCACACATCGTCAGCTGTCGGCGGCGCATCGCGCGGGCTCGGTTCTGCCGCGGTCTGGCAGTGCGGGCGGGCGACGAGCGGGTCCGACCGACCGGTGATGGCCGCAGACCGGCTAGCGTAGAGTCGGCTGCTGACGTCGGCTGGTGGTGAGTCAAGTCGGCCACGGGCCGGCAGGTGGTTGACGCCAGCCACCGAACGCTGTCTCAGCCGCCTGACGATACCTCAGCCACCTGACACTCTTTCAGTCACCTGACACTGTCTCAGCCATCTGACACTGTCTCAGTCACCTACCACCGCCACCAGCGTCACCCAGCGCCGACGAAGATCCCTGACACTGACTCAGGCACCTGACACCGCCCCCGGCCGCATGATGCTGGTCGCCGGTCGGCTGACGCTACGCTGTCACCTGGCGCCGACCTGAAGATTGGGACACGTCAGCAGTGTCGTGGTGATGTCAATGGTCCACCGAGAAACCGCGGGACCACAATATGAGTTCGTATGCGCCCGCTTCACCGAGTCGCTCACTTAATGGGCCCGTGCGTGCTCACTGCACGTGCTCCCGTCATCAAGTTGCCGCACACTTCCTTTGCTGAGCAGATGAGTGCTTACCTCAATGAGATGTCACGCAGAACTTGAGCACGTGGTAACGCCCAGCCGCCCCCTGGCCTGCAGAGAGCAGTCTGCCCTCAAAGCGGTACCGATGAGGTAGAGGCTGCAGCAGTGTCACTGACGCCACCCGGCAGAGTCACTGACAACACGTGGCAGCGGCACCGATTTCACCCGGCAGCTTGTCACTGACGCAACCTGCGGTGTCACTGACATCAAGCGGCAGCATCACCGGCGTGACTGTCGCCACCCGGCTCCTTGTAGCAGACGTCACCCGACAGTGTGACTGACGTCCGGCAGCAGCGCGGCCCGCACGTAGCCTGGTCAGTACTATGTGCCCGCCGGCGCCGCCCGGCCCAGTACACCTCCCTCAGCGCTGACGGTGTCCTCCCACGCTGACACAGGGCGGTGTTGACGTCAGCTCAGCACCGTCGGCCGATGACACTCCGAGACATCTCTGCGGTCGACCGACGGGCGCTTTCGCGGCGTTCACACGACTGCTACGAGCGGCGTGCGTCTCAGTGCCGCCAGCGCGCCGGCCCTGCCGCCTTATCTGGCGCCGCGGCCGACGCTGAACGTGAGATAAGAGGTAGGGCTGGGTCGGGGGTCGGATATGCTTATCTGGAGAATGCCTCAATGCATGCCCATTATTGGAATCTAGCAGGAGGTGTCGATAACATGTTGGGGAGTGGCACTGCGAATCAGATGCTGTTAGAATCAGGTGTGAATCAGAAGTGACTGTATCATATGTGTGCGTTGTTCAGTCTTGTGCGCGGGCGCCTCTAAGAGTGTGGGGTCGAAATACAGGGTGAAAAGTTGCCTTTTCTGTCCGCGACAAAATTTGAAACCGTCTTAGTTGCCACCTGGAATGAAATCTTTCAGAAATCGCTGCAATATATCCCTAAATTATATAAGCCACAAAAATAAAGACGAATTAAATGCCATGCAGCATAACCATCAAACCTTTTCGCTTAGGGAGTTCATTGCACTAAAAGTGTCAGTTACTGGTCATCAAGCACTGAATGGTGCTCGATACCACACTAACAGAATGATCAGATAAGAGCATGCTTAACATAACCCGACTAAAGGCGTGTAGTTTCCTATTCGGTTGGGGGGGGGGGGGGCAGGATTGTGGTTCCTCGCCAGGGACGCAGTTTCCTATTTTCGACTATAATTTTTATCCATTATTGTTCATTTATCATAATTTGGGGGCTCAGCCCCAAAACCTAATTTTGAGAAACTACACCACCGCTCCCAAAAAGTGCGTTATTTAGAGTCACTTATTTATTATTGATTTACTTCTAATCTATAATGTTACCAATTTGTAATTACTTAGAGCAAGGCCCATGCAGTATTGGGAGCAACAGAACAGATGCAAGCGAAATTTGATATGCAAATGATGACAGCTAAAAGAGTTTTATCTCACGCCTGTCCATTGATGAGTGCGCTAAGTCTGAGGTACAAAAGGCAATTGAGAGGCCTACACCTGTGATGCTCAGCCCCTTACCCCAAACCCGCTCTTCCTCTCAGCAACAAAAAGCCCCGTATGAATCATTGACATGTGTCGCCCCAACGACCTCCGTTTACCTCTGAAGCTACAGTTCAGGTATCCACAAAAACAACTCTCCTAGATCGGCAGGGCTTTTTAACGATATTACCGTAAAAACTGACGATTAGCTACGTTCTTCTAGCTAGTCAGCTTCTGACGACATGAACACAACTGACAGCAGCCCACGGCATTGCAATGAACCCAACGTATTACCGCGTGTGGGCAATCTGCCCATTTGTCTCAAATGGCGCGACGCTTTAAAACGCTGCGTGGTAAGCTGATCACTTTCGTTGTAAGATGCTGTGGCCAGCCAAGAATCTCGTGATTAGCAATGAGCCTAATTATTTGACATTCTATACTGCTTGGTATGTGAAGTGAGTCCTGGCTAAAAAAAAATCTTTGAAAAACACTGATCTGAGGGACACTGGAAAAGTGCTGTGTCACCACTGATCTGTGATATTTGATAAAAGTTGTAGTATATTTTGATATAATTTGTAGTATATTTTGATGTAATTTGTAGTATATTTCTGTCACCTCCTAAAACTATCCTGATTAAAGCTACCATGTTTGGCAGGATCTTATGACTCAACTCGTTCATATAAGGAAACTTCAATGCTTCGATGTGTGCTATACACCTGTTCACGCTGCGAGCTCGACACGCGTTCACCTCGCAAACCCGGTAAACCATTTGGCCGAGGGCCAAATGGATTATTGTTAATTACACAGTTATTGCCCAAAATAGTCCACGCCACTGGGTGGAAGCACAGCCTCTCTTCCCAATGCGCATCAACGCCAACTCTCGTCTCGCAGAAACAAAGATGATTTTCGGCCTTTTCGCACACCACGTAAACAGTATTCAATGGAACTCCCCTGTTCCGGCATCAATCTATATGTTAATCTTTCTTCCTTCCCTCACCCCTCGCGCTAAGTAAACCAAATTTGCCGCGTTTGTGAGGCGCCAGACTGCGCTGCCTGTCACTCTGACGGAGCAGCAGGCTTACCGTCGTCCTCGAACACAAACCAGACGTTTGGCCGTCCCCGACGGGGGTGCTGCCGTTACGAGCATATGTCGAATGTCTTGGGTGATGGCATTCATCCAGTCCATGGAAGGGTGATGTATGGACGATATGTTGTGCGGTTATATTCTGTGATGGGGATCACTAGAAGCATAAACTCTGTAGCAGGAAGATGTTAATGAAAGCTTAGCACTGTTTCGTCGCCAGTTCTGCCGGATATATCTCTTTTCCGTGGGTGAAACAGTCGTCGGAGTTAATTGGCTCAAGTCAACCACAAATTTCCGTGCTTTGCGATTGTTATGCTTAGCAATAAGGCGTTGATGCAGGCTGCACTTCTACTTCGATTCCAAGAGAGATGACGCACAATATAAAAAAAAGAAAGGTGCCATGCTAGCCTGTGATAGATTAAGTAAATAATACTGCTGTGAACAATGTAAACGATAACCTATTCATTAAGGCGTAAGGGATATACTGCGTTTGTTGCATGCGTTCTTTACTCTTTCTGCCATACCTGCGAATGGTTAAAATTACTCCCCCTGCTTTTCTGCAGCAGCAAGGGAGCTAACACTGCCTTCTCAAGGCGTTGGCGTACCCGCGCGCGCGGGCGACCAAAGATCGGCGGCACAGCATACCACACATCACGGAAATAAGGAGTGACATCTAGGAGTGCTTAGTCAAACTACTGCTTCGATCGGCGCGTTGAAGATATATTGAACAACTCGATTCTTCATAATCGAGAGCATACACAAACCCAACCACAAATCATCAATGATTCAAGCATACAAAGGACGCAACGTTGCAGGGAAGACGAAAGCATGGTTGGCTTGCCGGTTCAGGGGTGGCTGCATTTAATAAAATTTCCGTAAGAGCGATATCTGTCATTACAGCTGCCTGCCGCCAGCCGCCACGAGGCTCAGGCTACAGGCCTGTATTTGCATTTCAGCAACGTCGCTTAAGCTGGCGTGACAAGCTAGTACCTTAATTACAGATGCTAGCTGTTATGTGCTTCAATAAACGAGACACAATTACGGAGCTCAGTACATTGCGGGGAAGCGTCTTCTGTCTGCCTCGTGTACAGGGTTCGGAGGAGCGGTTGCTAACATAGCGAATGTCATAAGGGCTCAAGCGGCACTGCATCACTAGCGACATCTGCTTGCAATTAATGTGGATCAGATAGGCCGCACGGAGGTGATTCGCATGTCCCAGAGGTCTACGGCCACGGCTTATCGCCGCTGGCTGTAGGCATATACTGTGTCCCGGACTCTGAAGAGTGTATTCATGCGCTGTATCCCAGATTACGACCCTGACATTATTACTGACGCTTGGAGTCCGTCACAGCATCTACTTGAGAAGATGTGGGGACGGAACTGACAACAGATACCATACAGCTCAGCCAAATCTTCCGGGATGCAACAGACTATCTGGGAATTAACAGGCCGATGCCAAACATGAGCAAATATGCTCAACATGCGATCCAACTGTCAGTGACAGTGACTCAACTGTCAGTGATTTTCTAGGCGGTGTCTGAGCGGATATCCGAGTACATGTCTAAGTCCCAAAGCGTAAGTGCGAGCCCATCAAATTTTTTCGGGATGACATGTCTTATTATAAGTTAAATGTTATATGTAGGTTTACTGATTACGTCTAACCAAATCCATGTGATCATGCCCAACACGCAATCCTCGATAAACTCACCCAAAACCTTTCGATGTAGATGAGCAGCCACAACTAGCCATGCCGTTATGTGTGACGTACGCTAGTACGTACGCTAGTGATATGTCATGTGCATCTCCTTTCCGTGTTTCATCGCCGCCGTTTATGCTGATGCCTGAGCCTGAGCGCAGCATCTCAGCCCAGTCTGCGGGGCACCTATCCTCAATGAAGGTGTGGATATTGCAATTTAACGACCTGCGCAGCCGCTCTGACCGGACCCGCTGGGCGGCGAGCTAATTCGGAGTTTGGCCCGGTCAGTGATGGAAGGTCGTAAGTTGTGGGCGGCTCGCACGCACCGCCGTCCCTTCCCTGCAGTTTAATCACGCGAACGACGCAACGGCTCTCGGGGGAAACGGACTCCCCGCTCTCCAGAAATAGGCTCGCCCACCACCAGGAGTCGCCAGAACGTGAACCGCCATTGCAAGGTGTGAAGAAAGGAAGGCACCTAGCGCACTTCTCGGTGCGGTTGAGGCCGCTTAAACCGTACTGTGCCGTCTTTCCTCAATGACATTCATTTCTGCCATCCTTGACCGCCGTCTACGAGGTGGACAGTCTCGTTGTCATGGTTGTGCTTAGTGTTGCAGTGTTTTTTTTTCCAGGTACCGATCTGAGTAAAAATGTTGCATTCTGAGCCCAAGTCTAAGTCCTGCTGTCTAGCGTCCTTCTCGCTGTCAGTGATTTTCGAGGCGGTGACTGAGCGGATATCCGAGTACATGTCTAAGTCCCAAAGCGTAAGTGCGAGCCCATCAAATGTTTTTCGGGACGACAAATCTTACTATAGGTTAACTGTTATATGTAACGTAATAAGTCAAATGTTATATGTAGGTTAACTGATTACGTCTAACCAAACCAGCCCAAACCCAACCAAATCTAACCGAGACGAACTTGACCCATTCAACCAATTGCAATTTTATACGCATACCAATGCCTGCCACATTGCCTGCATCAGACCATATCTGCCATAATGTGCGAATGGCAATTTGAATATGCACTGCAATCGTGATCATGAATACCAAAACAATACAACGGTCATGTTTATAGCATCTTCGAGTCAGAAGTCATCATCTATAGCAGGGTCATGTTTATAGCATCTTCGAGTCGGAAGTCATCATCTGTAGCAGGGCCATGTTTATAGCATCTTCGAGTCAGAAGTCATCATCTATAGCAGGGCCATGTTTATAGCATCTTCGAGTCAGAAGTCAT